TAGAGCCCCTGCCTAGAATCCCCCAGTGAGGGGCTGGGGGCGTGGCTTTAGTGAAACAAGCTGGAAGCCTCAGGTTCTGCCCCCCTGCAATCCTCCCTTCTTCCAATACTTAGAGTAGGGTAAGTGTCCACACACACTCAGTTCCACTTTGCCTCCCCTTGGATTCTGGCTCCCTCTAGTCGCATCCTTAGAGAAGAATGCGGTGTGGCTGCCCTTCCTTGGTATCCTCTAGTCCCAACCTGCCCAAGCCACGCAGGGATTTATATTAATCTGTCTTTTTAGCTCAAACCTCTAGTTCCCTTTCCTGCTTCACTTTCCCATTTTTCTCCACGGAGTTCCCTGGAACTGGAGCCCCTGGAGCTGTGCAAAGCCCGCGCTACGCGTCTAGCCCCGCCCCGCCCCGCCCCGCCCCGCCGCGCCCCGCCCCGCCGGGGGGGGCCCTTAGCCTCAGGGAACTAGTTAGGCGACCACTCGTTTGCTTCGCATCCTGCATCCCGCACCTCCTGGAGCTCCATCCCGACTCAAATAAAGACATAAATAGAATAAAAAACAAAACAACCAAAACCCCAAAGTACCTTGGTAGTTTTTAATTCAACAAAACGTGTTTCTGTTATTTGGCGAGCCCTTCATCCTTATTGGTCTAATTTCAGCCCCGCACTCGATTTTGACTGGTTGCTTCCTGGGTCCTATTATTCCTCTGATTGGATAATCTCAGCAAACCTCTTAAAGAAAGGACGAGGCAAATTCTAACCTCTTCCGCCAGGGGGCGCTGGCGGGTTTCCTGAGGGCTGCTCTTCAGGAACCAAAAACAAAAACAAAAAACTGGAATTGTTTTCAGAGGTGGGAAGAAACTGTTGAGGATGGGAAAGGTGAATAAACCGGCCCCGCCCTATTTACGAAGAGCACTGCCTCAACCTGGTTTGCTGGCTTTGCAAATTTTGTAAAACTGATTGAAGATGTATGATTCCATAAATACTAGTAATATACACGTATGCACACATCATATATGTGTGCATCATATATGCATGATATAGGGTCTTACTAAGTAGCCCAGGCTAGCCTCAAATTCAGTTTTCTTGCCTTCGCTCCCTGGGTTCTGGGTTCACAAGCATGTGTCACACTCTTGGATAATTCAATGTTATAAAGGATAGATTTATTCTTGTGTGTCTGAGTGAGTTTGTGTGCACCATGTAAATGCAGGTGCTTTCTGAGGCCAGAAGAGAACGCTGGATTCCCTGGGACTGAAGTTACATGCGGTTGTCACACACCATGTGTCTCCTAGGAACTGCATTCAACCGCTCTGCAAACTCGGGAAGCGCTAACCCTGAGCCCTCTCGTCAACCCCTAACTTGATACTTTTCATTGATTGTAGCACCACCTCTGCAGGCCTGTGAAGGTCATCAGCCTGGGACAGTGTTTCCTAGTTGAGGGCTGGAATACAGTTCAGTTGGTACACAAAGCCTTGGATCAGATCTCTAGTGTTGCATAAGCTCCAGGCATGGGGATATGTACCTGTAATGCCAACACTGGAAAAGTAGAAACAGGAGGATCTGAAGTGGAAGGTCACCCTCAACAAATAGTGAAGTTGGCCTTTTTAAACTATCTATTTTTATGTTATGTGCACTGGTGTTTTTGACTGCATATATCTCTGTGTGAGGTGTCAGAACCCCTTGAACTGGAGTTACAGACAGTTGTGAGCTGCCATGTGGATGCTGGGAATTGAACCCAGGTCCCCTGGAAGAGCATCCAGTGCTCTTAATGACAGAGCCATCTCTCCAGCCCCCCTGCCCTTTTGTTGTTGTGGTTTTGTTTGGTTTTGCCTGCATATGAGTATCCTGAAAAGAAACTCAGAGAGGATTTTAAATTTACATTTTTTATTTGTTTGTGTGTGTGCTTATGTGTGTGTGCGGGTATATATGTAGGAGGGGTCAGAGGACCACCTTCAGGAGCTGGCTCTACAGATGGAACTCACGCTGTCAGGTTTTGGTGGTTACTGCTTTCACCTACTGAACTACATTGCTGGCTGATAATGAAAGAATTTCTTTCCTTTCTCCCTTCTTTTTTAAGTCAGGGTGTCACTGTGTAGTTGTGGCTGGCCTGGAAACCACAGAGTTTTGCCTGCCTCTGTCTCCTGAGTGCCAGGATCACAGGCCTGTAATCCACCACAGCCCAGCTACATCTCCTTGGTTGTCCTTATTGTACTGGTGGTTCTGGGTAGTCTGTGGGGACCGTGGTCACCTCCTCACTGGCTTTTCTGGAAATGAATGAAGGCAAGGGACAGAGTGGCCAGGTTGCAGAGTTACCCTTCCTCCAGGGAGTCCCCAGTCCCACTTCAACCTAGTGCAGATGTCTCCTCTGGATTTCTCCATCTTAGCCATGACCCTTCTCCTGTGCGTCCCAGGATCACCCACTTTGGGCTGTCACAGATCCGTCTCCCCACTAGACTGTGATCCTAGGGGATGTGGCTATAGCTAAATAATTCTTCCTCTCTCCTTTTCCCTTCTCCTTACTCCCACACCTACCTTTTCTTTGTAGCCCATGCCTGGTCTGGAATTTTCTCTTTAGCACCATATTAGCTTCAAACTTTACACCCTCCTGCCTCAGATGTCCGAGTGTGATTACATGCAGGTGCTACCCCGCTTGGCTCCCCCCCCTTTTTTTTTACCATGGCCCATCACCCCCCAGAACAGAAATTGAGCAATGGCTATTTGTGTGTTATGTAAAGAATCTATTCCTACGTGTGTATTACTGTCCTGCACTACAGTACTATTGGTAATTTGAGGGGACTGTCCGAATCCTACAGTAGTGAGAAACCAGTGTCTGAATCCGGGCAGCTTGATTCCCTGTCCTGTATTCTTATCCAAGATGCCAAATGACTAGTGAGCTGAAAACCAGCTTTCCACAAAACTGATGTCTGCCCGCTCAGCCTTTTTCTTCTAGAAATCTCGAGGAGAGCATGCAGGCTGGTGGGAGGGTAAGGACTGTGGGAACAAGGGAAAGGCGCCAGAACAAGTAGACCCAGGCAGATTTGGGGGTGAGCGAGGGGGTTTGGAGGGGTTTTTCTAGACCCATAGGGGGCAGCCGGAGACGGCAGCCGGAGATGTGGGGGCGGAGAAAGGGTGGGGACCGGCCCCGCGGGGGGCGATGCGGTAGCTGCAGCGGCGGCCGCAGGAGTTTCCCACAATGCAGCGCGGCGCGCTGTCCCCGGTGCTGATGCTCAGCGCTGCCCCGGAGCCTCCACCTCGCCCGCCTCCCGCCCTTTCCCCGCCGGGCCCGGGCTCAGCGCCTCGCCATGGCTCTGCTCGGTCGGGTCCTGCCCCAGAGCCGTCTGGGGGCCTGGCCGCGGCGCTCGACAGCAGCCTGCGGGCTGCCGTGGCGTTCAAGGCGGAGGGTCAACGTTGCTACCGAGAGAAGAAGTTCCGAGAAGCCATTGGCAAGTACCACCGGGCACTGCTGCAGCTGAAGGCGGCTCAGGGGGCCCGCCCTGGCGGTCTGCCCGCCCCCTCCCCCGGTCCCACCACCAGCCCGGGGCCCGCCCGCCTCAGCGAGGAGCAGCGTCGCCTGGTGGAGAACACAGAGGTTGAATGTTACGATTCCCTCACTGGTACGGGGACGTCGGGGGTTGGGGTGGGGCACAGAGGACCCGGGTGAGACGGGTGGGTGGTGAGGGGCAATCAGGAGGCCCTACGGCCTGGGGGTGGTGGCCGGAAGTTAAAGGAGTCGGGGATGTGGTCTGGCGGGGAAGACTTCAGAAGTTGATGAGGACAGGAGTTGGGAGTAGATGAACAGTGCTTCTTGGATGGAGTAAACGTGCTTGGATAGTGAAACGGGCTCTGGACTTGGTCTTCTAAGCCCCACTTCCCTGCCTAATTCTCCCCGCCTCCGCCCCGGTTTGCCACGCATGAGCCAAGGTTAGAAAGGCTTACCCTGCACTGGCTATTTCGTTCTTGGACCCTCACTTCTGCAATTGCTTGGGAAACCTCCTGCTAATTGCTTCAGACTTGTCTGTCCTGCGCCCTCTAGCGGCGGCGCAGATAGGTCTTATACTAATGGGCTAGCCGATTAGTGTCCTCTGGTGGCCAGAGCAATCCCTTAGACCCAGGGGAAAAGGCCAGGTTATTCGAGGTCATGTGGATCCTAGGGGATGCAGGCTGTGTCTGAGACTACAGGGTCTCCGCACCCCCACAGCTTGCCTCCTGCAGTCGGAGCTGGTGAACTATGAACGCGTCCGTGAGTACTGTCTCAAGGTGCTGGAGAAACAGCAGGGCAACTTCAAGGCCACCTATCGTGCCGGCATTGCCTTCTACCACCTGGGTGATTATGCGCGTGCGCTGCGCTACCTACAGGAAGCCCGCAGCCGAGAGCCCACAGGTGAGTGGCACGGCTGGGCTGGGCTGGGCAGGAGGTTAGACCAGAGGAAACCAAGGCACGAGGACCAGGGCAGAGCCAAGCTACCCCAGGGAAGTGCTCTGGACAAACTCTCTCTAGCTACCTAAGACTCTTCACACACCCATCCATCATCGGTCCACCTTCCCCAAAGGTACTGTTCCTCTGACATTCCCCCAGCCAGTTCTCATCAGTGGGAATTGAACCCAGGGCCTCATGCATGCGAGGCAAGCTCTCTACCAACTAGGCTACATCCCCAAGGCCTTGCCCCATCCGTGCCCCTGTCCACTCACCCACAACGGCCTTGAATACTTCTCCCCCACACCCGTATTCCTTCACTCCCTCCCAGTCACATTCTGCTCCTCAGTCACTGTTTCCCGTCACTCATCTGCTCATAAAGCTTCTCTGCCCTTGGGGAGAACGGTCAGGGTACCCGTGTGTCCACGTGTGTGCGTAGACATGACACAAGCCCATGAGGAGGGAACACGGCAGGCGCCAGATGCGAGGCTGTGGGAGCAGAGGCAAGATTAGCTTTCCCGTGTGGTTTGGTGAGAACAGTTGTCACTTGGGGAGGAGTGGAGGTGAGAGGAGCCTCTCGGCAGACCGCTGCTGCACGTGTGAGGTGGGAGGTGTGAAGTGTCTCTGGGAGGCTGGGACAGCTGAGGTGCTGGGAGTGCCGTCACTGACTGTCCTGAGGCCGTCGGCTGCTGTCTCTGGACACCCAGACAATGTTCCTGTCCCTCCCCCGCAGACACCAATGTTCTTCGCTACATTCAGCTGACTCAGCTGAAGATGAACCGGTGCAGCCTCCAGAGGGAAGACAGTGACGGTGGCACTGGAGGCCCAGCTCGGAATGTCATGGGCTGAGGCCAAGGGGCAGCCTCTACCCTATTCCCTCCAACCTCACCGGGGAACTTCCCCGACTCGTGTGACTCCTGTTTACTGGTAAAGCACCTGCCACCGGTGTCTCCTTTGTGTGATCTTATTGCGGGGATGAAGGAGCGGCTCTAGGAGTGACCTAGGTGTCACTTCGTCAGGAATCCAGAGGCCCAGGGAGGAAATGTAGGGTTTAAGGGTGTCCCATTGTGGGGTAAGTCAGTATCAGGGTCCAGGCTGGGGAAACACACACAGGCAAACTTGGTAGGGGGCAGGGGTTACCTTTAATGCTGTGTTTTGTGCCAAATCCCCCCACAATGTCCTGTCCCTGAGTATCCCTGCCCACCCTCTCCCCACAGCAGGTTGGGCCCAGAGCTCTACAACCTGGGGTACAAAGGAATAAATTAAGTGTCCTCCCCTCCCGCCTTCCCCAATAAATAGAGTGAGTATCCTGCCCAGGGCCTCCCCCACCTTGGCAAATGGTGGGCTGTGGCGGGGCCTGGGGCGCTACATTCATGGCTGCCCAGGCGGGTGGCGGTGGGCAGGTCTCAGTGAGAGCCGTAGGCCCCACACAGGGGCACGGTACTGTCCTGGCTCTGGCCCTCCATGTCCATGTCCAGCAGCGTGGGCTGCACGCTGGGGGGCCCAGGGCTCTCTGGAGTGTCGGGCCTGCTTGGAGGCGAGATGCTGAGTGTCCGGCCAAAGGAGACCAGTTTCCAGGGGTCCAGACGGGGGCGGCTGGCAGCTGGCCGGGGTCTTGGGGCAAAGGTGAGGGTGGTGGGGCGACCAGGGAACTCCAGGGGCCGGCGTCGGGTGGGGAACAGGGCCTGGGGGTCGGGCAGTCGAGGGAAGTCCAGGGGGTCTCGAGGACCTAGGGAAAGAGGATCACATGTGATGAGGGGTTGGGGTAAAGGGGCCATTTCTACGTCAATACTCATCCTTGGAAAGTGGTTACCGGCTTCTCTTGAACACTCTTCCGATCCCGCTATGCCTGGATTCTAGCGGCCACAGCCATTACAGCCCTGTACTCGGCCCCTGGGTAGCTCTCACGGCCTCCAATGGCTCACTCTTCTGGAAGACTTTGAAAATGTGACAGGCTGGCCTGGGACTCTGTGTAGCAGACGATGACCTTGAACTCCAGAGCACGGGGTTGTAGAAGTGTGTTATGTGGTGTCGGGGTCACACCCAACATGTTAGACAATCATTCTACCAAAGGGGCTGCACCCCAGCTCATTTTTCCATGTTCATTTTCTTAGGGACAGAATGGCATGTAGCCAAGGCTGGTCCCAAACTCTGGATGTGGCCCAGGATGACCATAAATTCCTAATCCTGAGTCCTGGGTTCACAAGTGTATGCCACTACTCGCAGTTCGTGCCTGCATCTCTGAAGTGATCACAACAGCACCTTGCTGGGGCAGAGAGATTCGAACCTGATCACAGTAGCTGTAAACCAGAACCTGGGGCCTATAGGGCACAAGTAATTCCTGACCATGCCATCCTGACCATATTGCTGGCTAATAAGCAGAGAGAGGACAGTGCTGAGAGCTACCAATGCTTCCACTTGCCATCAAGTCACCTACTCTGTCCTTGCAGACATGATATTGTTCCCCCCCCCCCCCATTTATCATGTCTCAGGCATCCCCAAGCCTCACAATATCCCCCCCCCCCGCAATGACGGCAGGGGATGCCCGGAAGGAGAGGTCAGTAGCCTGTGAAAGATCCTTGTACCGGCCCCACTCACCGTGGTTGGTGAGCTCCGGAGGCTCCCGCTGTCTCAGAGCCCCATCCGATGGCGTCCGCCTATGTCCACGGCTCACAGCGTGGGCGGCAGTGACGTGGGTGGGCGTGAGCGACTGTCGGGGGTCTTTCTTGAAGCTCTCCAGCTCCACGTCCACAAGAGGATTGGTGCTCGGTGAGGGCGCCATCGGAGAGGGCGGCGGGGAGGGCACGGTGGGGGCAGCCTCGTCACTGTCAGAGCGCAGCAATGAGCGCGTAGAGTTACAATCAGATACAGAGGATAGTGACACCAGGGTGGCCGAGGGTGCCAGGCCCAAGCCTGGGACTGTGTCTTCCCGGCGGCCTCCGGGGCGCCCGGTTGGGCTGAGACCCCGAGGGAAGCGGCCAGGGCGCGGGAAGAAGAGACCGTCCAGCCAGCGCCGCTGCTCCTCACCGTCCCCAGCCCGTGCCTCGGCCACGTCGGCGCCCAGGCCCACCGCACTCAGCAGTGTGGCGCAGCCCAGCAGTGCCAGGTCACAGCGCCTACGAGCTCCGTGTCCTGGCCGGGAGGGGGTCGCAGCCGGGGGCTCCCAAGGTGCCTGAACACAAGGAGAGGGCTCAGCGGGCAGAGGCACCTTGAGGTAGGACGGGGTGGAGTAAGGGGAAGGGGGCACGCTGTTGTCTTCATCTGCCTCCGCAAATTCTTCTGCAATCAGAGAGGTCGGTCACTCAGCTGAGCCTGCCTTTCCTCCTCTTCCCCTAGAACTGGTGGCAAGGGCTTCCTCCAATGATCTCCAATAATAGCACACCCACCCCACCCACCGCCACTCTCTAGCTGCCACTGTCGTCCTCAAATCTCTTTCTCCAAAGCCTTGCTTCTGAAAATGTGTGCCAATCTCCAGGCCAGTAGCTGCTATCTCTTCTGGGCATGTGTTGCCTAGGTCTGAGTGACATACCCTCGGCCTGGGTTTCTCCTGTGCCCACCACTCCCCAGAGCGCCCACACTCTCTTACCCATCTCATTGAGGCTGGCGAAGCCCGGGGCCATGGGGGTATGCTTGGGGGATTTGCCCAGGTTGGGGGCGCTCGAGGACCACTGCTTGCTTCCTTCCCCCAGGGCCTTGAGCCTGCAGGGGCACAGGGAGACAGGGTCAGGGCCAGGGTCAGGCAGGTACAGGGGCAGGTAGGCAGCTAGACACCCGTACCTCTCCTCTCCTCCAGCCCGCTCCTTTTGCAAAGTGGAACTGGGGCCCCATGTCCTGCCTTTCTTCTTGCCCCCAACCAGTTCTTCCTTCTTCGGTGGCCCACTGCGGCTCCACGTCCCACTGCCACTGCTGCCACCACAGTCCATGGGAGTCACTGCACGGAGAGGAGTGACAGAGAGTCACGGAGAGGCCCTGTCAGCCCATCGACCGTTCTGAGGGCTCCTGTTGGGCATGGCCTAACTCAACAAGGCAACAGGCTCCTTCTGGAGCCTTTCCTAGTCGGCTCCTGACCCCTGTGTCCCCCTCCCCTACCTAAGCCTTCAGCTTCGCTCTGGGCGGCACAGCCCCGAGTTCTGGAGACTGAGGTTCTGTTCCTCCATGCTCCCGAATGCACTCTGGCTCTAAAGTCTGTTACCGCTGTATGGACAGACACACCTGCCTCCAAGTTGTCTTCTGACCGTCACACGCACCCACTGCACAAGTGCACCCACGCACATGCAACCACATACAGTTACAAATGTAATAAAAACAATGAGTTATAGTCTAACCTGGGAGACAGAGTGAGGCTATCTCAAAATGAAAACAAAAGGCTGAGAAGGAAGCTAGTTTGTAGAGTGTTTGCCTCTTAAACAGAATCCCTGGGTTTCCCCAGCACTGCATAAACTGGGTGTTGTGACACATGCCTGTAATTCAGAACCAGAGAGGTAGAGGGAGAAGGATCCAGGAATTTAGGAGTTCAAGGTCATCCTTAGCTACACAGTTGCAGACCAGCCTGGGCTACATGAGACCATGAGACAGGCATGTAAAGGAAAAGGTTAGTAGTTTGGGGTTTGTCCTTGGGAGGACAGCAGCCCCGCTCCCTCTCCTGCATGGACTACGCACACACCTCCAAAGCACGCACCTATGCCAGGCTCCCTGTACTTCCCATCTTTAAATAGTATACACATCTCCAACCCTGGTAACAGCTAAATCTTGATGGCTCCATTCAAGTGTACCCCTAAGTATCTGGATACATGAAGAACAGAAGGGTTGATCCAGCATGAAGAACTGGTTTTACCCTTTATTCTCAAGTCAACTTTTAAGGTAAATCACCTATTTCCCATCTCACCCCTCTGCATAGACACAGGCATACCTCTACACACACACACACACACACACACACACACACACACTCAAAGCTGCAGCAAGGGCGGGGCAAAGCTCAACAATAGAACACACGCTTTGCACATATAATGCCATGAGGCCTTGAGTATTGTCAAACATTTTTTTAAAAATCATGGCCGGAGAGACAGCTCAGGGGGTAAGAATACTCTCAAAGGCTGCTTTCAAAGAGGGTTTGGCTGTCAGCACCCACACGGCAGCTTGAAGCTATCTGTAACTGCAGTTCTGGGAGAATCTGACTCCCTCTTCTGGCTTCCTCGGGCACTGTATACACATGGTGTACGGTCAGAGAAGCAGGCAAAACACTCATACCCAAGAAATAAAAATAAATAATAAAAACATTTTTGTTAAATAATAAAGTTTTTAAAAAATCAGTCAGACTGTGTCTCCATGTCTGTATGTCCTGGCCCTGTAGCCCTCTTTCCATAAAATAGCCCGTCCTTCTTTGCTCTGCCGAGCAGGCCTCTGGGCTAAAACTGTGCTGCCCTTCTCCCTAGGCATTTTCTCCCTAGTCTTTGTTGTGCCTTCTGCCAGGGGCATGCACACTCATAACCTCCAAGGGCACTGGCAGACCTCGCCTCAGGCCCCGAGCTGGGTAGCATCAGCCTTTTGTGATATCCACTTTCCTGGGCTGAGGGTTCCCAGAAGCTGCTAAACTCCTAATTTTGCATGTGCAAGGGTGGCTCTGGGAAAGACATGCGTTTGGATGAACAGTAAAGGGTCCACTGTCTCCCATGAGAGTGGCTTTGCTCAGCCCATTGCAAGCTCAAACAGGACAAAGAGGCAGAAGGGTTTCTGGTTTTGAAACCACCATCTTCAGGTCCTCTTAAGTTGGACTTGGTGTGAAGTAGGTAGCAGTTTTCCTGTGCCCCCAGCTTCCAGAACAGGCCATACAGCTGAGGGTGTGAACTCTGTGACCAAACCGTCTTAAAGCATGGCCATGTATTCTACTGATGTAATCTCTCTGGAGAACCCTAATACTCCCCACCTCTCAATTTTTGGTGCTGGGG